TTGAAGGAAGGAAAGAAGCATGTTGCATCACTTCAGTTTTGTTGTTCTCGACAGCTAACCAATAAGCTGACTTCACCGAGAGGAAGCCGCTTTTGTTATATCTCCAAATCCAAAAATCTTGAGAGTCAACCGCAGGTTTAACCTTTCTAATAATGGCAACATCATCAGGGAAAAACAGTTCCTCTAACTTGTCAATGTCCCAATCTTTCCTTTCAAAATCTATGAGCTCACTCACTTTAAGGCCCGGATCAATAAAAAGATTTCTAATCCAAGGAGCTCTTAGACCATCCTCATCAACCATCCACCTATCCACCCAAACAGTCAAGGAAGCACCATTTCCAACCCTTTTCTGCAGACCTTTGTTAAGCAAATCCCTGCCATGGAGAATGCTTCTCCAACCAAAAGAAGGACGCTGTCCTAAACACGCATCAAGGAAATGGCCATCAGGAAAATACCTGTTTTTCATCACTCTTGAGAACAAACAATCTGGGAAATGCAAGATTCTCCACGCTTGTTTTGCCAGCAAGGCTTGGTTAAAGAGCTGAATGTCCTTGAAACCCAAACCACCTTTATCTTTTGGTAAGCACAGCTTTTCCCAACTTATCCAATGAATTTTCCTATTATGTTCAAGAGAACTCCACCAGAATTCTGCCATTGCACTCGAGAGATTTGAGCAAGAAGTCTTTGGTAATCTAAAACAAGACATCACAAACACAGGCATGGCTAAGGCAACCGATTTCAGCAAGATCTCTTTGCCTCCTTGAGACAGAAACTTAGAGTACCAACCAGAAAGCTTAGACTTGAGGCGATCTTTGATATAAACTAACATTTCCACTTTTGAGCCACTAAAACACTCTGGTAGACCTAAGTAAGTCCCTGCTCCCCCCACATTTTGGATACCAAGAGATTCTTGAATGCAAAGCTTAATGTTTTCAGTTACCTTAGATCCAAAAGTAATCGAAGACTTTGTGTGATTGATAGTTTGCCCTGTAGCAGCTCTATAAACCTCCAAAATCTTCTTCAACACCAAGCACTGATCTTGATTAGCCTTACAAAGAAAAAGGCTATCATCGGCAAAAAGTAGATGTGTAATGGATGGACCCCCTTCATTGAACTGAATACCACTAATCAGACCATTTCTTTGAACAACATTCAACAGGTAAGACAGACCTTCAGTGCATAATACAAAAAGAAAGGAGGATAAGGGATCCCCTTGTCTAAGCCCTCTTTGGGGAACCACCATACCAAAGGGTTGGTCATTTATTAAAACTGAGTAAGTCACAGACGAGACACAAAACATTACCCAGTTAATCCATCTTTCATGAAAACCCAAAGCAGCCAGCAAAGATCTCAAGTAACACCACTCCACTCGGTCTTAAGCTTTTGACATATCGGACTTTACTGCCATAAACTCAGCAGAAATAGCCGAATGAGCATTTAAACCATGAACTAATTCATGAGCAACCAAAATATTATCAGAAATGAGTCTTTCAGAAACAAAAGCAGTTTGTGACTCAGAAACCAAACAAGGAAGAAACGGTTGCAGCCTCTTAACCATCACTTTGGAGATAATCTTGTATAATACCGAGCACAGGCTGATCGGTCTGAGATCAATCATTTCAGTCGGATGAGGGATCTTTGGTAAAAGACAGAGATGAGTATAGTTCCACTCCGATGTAAAAACTCCAGAAACAAAAAACTGTCTAACCTCACAGCACACCTGCTTCCCAACAGTATACCAGTAGTGTTGGAAAAACAAAGAAGACATACCATCAGCCCCCGGGGCGCTTGAAGGTTTAATGGAGAAAACTGCTGCCTTAATTTCTTCATCAGAGACTTCTTTTACCAGACTGTTGTTCATTTCTTCAGTGACACGAGGTTGAAACCCAAAAAACCAACTGGAGAAGCTGGCAGGATTAGAAGAAGAGAAAAGCTTCTGAAAATAAGCACATGCTACTTCACCTTTAGCAGCTTCCGACTTTTGGAGGTTACCATTAATATCCACTAGCTTTTCAATTCTCTTCTTTGCTCTGTTTCCTTTGACTGTTGCATGGAAAAACTTAGTGTTTCTTTCACCACATCTCATCCATTTCGCTCTACTCTTCTGATTCCAGAAAATTTCCTCTTCTTTGTAAGCCAAAGACAGTTCTTTTTTCAGAAAATGAACATGATTCAAGGTAGGAAGAGAGGAAGACTGTTCTATCTCAAGAGCCTTTTCCATCTGTTGGATCTTATCATTAGCGTTGGTGCAGTTAGTCTTCTTCCAAGAACTTAAGGCTTTCCTACAAGCCCTCAATCTATCAGCCACAAAAGCTAAAGATATAGGGGAATCAGGTCTCCATGCACGGATCACAGCTTCTTCAACCTTTGGTTTATACAGAAACCTCTTGTCAAATCTGAATTGTCCCCTATAAGTATCCTGCGAAGAAAGCAACTTCAACAACACAGGCCTATGGTCAGATCCTCAGAAATCCAAAAAGGTTTGGTTTGACACTGGAAATTGAACAAACCAATTTTTATTACCAAAAACTCTGTCAAGCCTACTTTGAATCCATAAATCATATCTTTTTCCAGCCCAAGTAAAACTGTTTCCTTGACTGGGTAACTCCTCCATGTTACACGCTCTTAGCATCTCAGAGAAAGGCTTAAAGTAAGAGTCACACCTCCTAGGGCCACCAAGCTTTTCACCATTGTGAAGAATATCATTAAAATCCCCCAACATACACCAACCGTCTCTTCTTCCAACCCCTATTCTACTAAGTCTTTCCCACACCAATTGTCTTTTCTTAAAATCCGGGTCTCCATAAACACAAGAGAGAAAAAAAGAGACCGCTCCAAACTGAACATGCAAATCAACCAGATTCTTGTCAGCAAACTTTATATCCACTTGCACATTACTCTTACAAAACACTGCTAAGCCACCACACTTTCCTATTGGTTCCACAGTAAACACTCTGTCATAACCCAGCCACTCTTGAACATCAACTAAAGTATTTCTATCATGCATAGTTTCCATCAAAAACAAAATCTCCGGAAAATGTTTTTTACGCAATTCCCTGAGACAAGGAAAAGCCAAGTCTTGAGACCGTCCCAAGCCTTGACAATTCCAACTCATGATGCTCATTGGACATTGGGCAATCCCCCCTTTGGGATCACCTCTCTGGGATTAAGCTTTGACAATTTTGCAGTGCTTGTTCCCTCATCTGCAGCTTTCCTCTTATCTTTAGAACCAATTGACTTCCCCACTTTTACACTTAAAACCTCACTTTCAGTTGCAGGCTTGAAAGGTTTAGGTTTCCTTGCACTCTTTGTCGGACGTTTCCTTGCCTTTGCCTTTTTAGAATTAAACCCGGACGGACCAGCCTCAGAGAAACCGGTCCTAAAAACCGTTGGATCACTCTGAAAAGGCTGATACAGGGCAAGGAAATTAGAGTCTTGCACAGCAGGGACTTTAGACTTGGTTTCCACTAACCAGGATCTGTCCTGATACAACTGAGGATTTGAAGAGCTGGGGATAAGACTCAGTTCCGTTGAAGCAGAATTTGACTCTTCACAATCATACCCAAACACTACTCCTTTTCCAACAGTAGCATCCAAATGCAAAATAGGAAGAGGTTCCAATCTCAAAACAGATTTTTTAGCAATGGGATCTTTTTCAGCTTCCCCCACTGTTTTCTTCACTCTTGCCACCTTAACAGAAATATCTTCTCCATTGGCCATCAGAAGGTATTGCCTCATACCTTCTAGAACTTCAGCTGCTATTCTCGGCCTACCAGTAGAAACATCAACGCCAACTTGTTCTTCTCTCAAGACGCCAAACAAAGGATCTGAATCTTTCAGTACTGGGGGCTTCTTAATCTTCTCCACCGGTTTACCCATTCTTCTAGCTGCTGCAGCCTCTTGACCTCTTTTGAGAAAAATAGGGCAAGCCTCTCTTTCATGCGTTAACCTTTGGCATTTCATAACACCTCTTTTGTACTCTTTCATACTCAAAACGAACCACAGTGGATCCACCTTTCATGTTTATCACTTTGGATCGTCGTAAAGGTCTTGAGATATCGAAAAGAACTTTGACTCTAACAAATTCCAGAACTTGTGGCACATCTGGATCAAAAGCAACCTCAGTGACTTGGCCAATCAGATCTCCCAGCGAAGATATGGCCTGAAAAGTGTAATGGTTGATTGGAAGGTTCCAAATCTGAACCCAAATAGGCATGAACATCAAGTAATTCTCTGGGGGATACTCATACCATCTATCCACCACAATCGACCACTCATTATAGGTATGAGCCCCTTTATTCAACACATCTAAGAGATCATACTCAGAATTGAAAATAAACTGAAATTTCTCACTAGTAAGCGCTACTCCTCTTACTTTCCCCAATTTCTGCCACTTCCGCGGCATGTCTCTAATGAGATGTTTCATCACTTGACATTCAGGATTCAAGAGTCTACCAACGAGACTTAAAACATTTCTCTCGCACGAAGAAAACTCGGGCAGATCCGGCATCTCAAAAGGAATTTCTTCTTCCTCTTCTTCTTCCAAAGTCATAGCCAACATAGCCTTATCCATAGCTGCAGACATATTTTGATTTCTCAGAAAAAACCACGAACCAAACGCGAACTTGAAGTCGGGAACAAAACAAACACGAACTTGAAGTCGCGAACTTGAAGTCGGGAACGAACCAAACACGAACTTGAAGTCGGGAACGAACCAAACACCACTCCGGACAGCAAATCTATCAACCTTATAAAACCCCACCGAACAGAACACTCTTCAGACAAACTCAAAAATTATCAAATGAACTCAGAAGAACAAACAAGAAAAACGAGCAAGATTAGATCTGAAAATATGTGACGGCTGCGAAAAGTGGTCTACCACACAAACGAGAAACTTGTTTTTTAATCAAAAATTCTCTTTTCACCCTAATGGAATACACTAGTTGAAAAAGAAGGTCTTAAGCCCACAAATGGGAAACAGATATTTTTTCCGAAAGGATACTCGTTCTCTTTACTCTTTAGTATTCCTATCTTTCTCCGATAATAATCAAAAAGCTTAATTATTGTTTTGTTTTCTAGCACTCTACAAAAACATGGCTCCCTCGTTTCTAAGCGTCGCAAAATTCGTTGAGGCACTACTCCGCCGGAGATTCTCCTCCGCTGGTCTCTCCTTACAAACACTGTCCATCGACTCCGAAACCACCATACAGTTCTGGGGACCACCACCGTCTTCATCGTCGGAAAATACACAAAAACCGTCGCTCCTCCTCCTCCACGGTTTTGGCCCTTCCGCTGTATGGCAATGGAGCCATCAGGTAAAGCCATTCTCCCAATTCTTTCGTCTCTACGTCCCCGACCTTGTCTTCTTCGGTGGCTCCTCTTCCTCCGGCGAGAACCGGTCGGAGATGTTTCAGGCGTTGTGCATGGGGAAGCTTATGGAGAAGCTCGAGGTCGAGAGGTTCAGCGTCATTGGTACGAGCTACGGCGGTTTCGTGGCGTATAACATGGCGAAAATGTTTCCGGAGAAAGTGGAGAAGGTGGTGCTTGCGAGTTCCGGTGTTAATTTGCGGCGGAGTGACAACGAGGCATTTATCGCGAGGGCTAAATGCCACGGTATCAAGGAGGTGATGCTTCCTGCTTCTGCGACAGATCTTAGGAGAACTTCTGGGATGGTTTCTTCTAAGAGACTCGATTATGTCCCAGATTTTGTCTTGAACGACTTTTGCCAGGTATCTTTTATTTATTTCTCCTTTTTAAGGAAAATCCCACCAACGAAAATCTTAAAGTTTCCTCGGAATTTCAACAAAAGTTTTTAAATCCGAAAACAAACAGTCTATTAATTCGAAAACTTATAACTAATTAATCCATCTATTTTATAAAAGTGTACGTTTTTCTCTGTATCGTTCCAATTTTATCGAATGTCCCCCAAGGGACAGTGTACGTTTTTCATAAATAAAAAATAAAGCAAGATGTTAGTTTTGTTTTTTTTCGGCAACGTGGATTAACAATATTTTGCAATGTGTACAAGATGATGACGCATCATTGATACTAACACAAACTATTTTTATATGTTAATTATATTCATAATTTCCTTGTTCCAAGTGTTTTTATGTCGTCAAATTTTCTTCTTGTTCTAAGTAATTGATTTTATTGGAAGGTTAAGTTCATTTTTAATTTCTTGTGTAATTTCTATGTTTATATGGAAATATAGAACAATATTTCATTCGAAAAACAAATAAAACTCACACTTATTGCAAATTTCTATATTACACGAAAACAGATGAAAGTAGTGGAGTACAAAGATGCACTCCACTTGTTTATCTTTATCAAGACTGATTAGTTAAAGAAAGTTGTCACTTTCATTTGGTTATTGTAATTAGTAATGATAGTTTTTTTTTTTTTTTTTTTTTGGGGTCAACACTCAACAGTAAGGCTAGTATAGAATTGGGTATAATAAAGAACGGATGGCCTTGTAGCTCCCAAAGAAGGACAGATATTACTCAAATTTATAATTTTAAATGATAAAATACAATTATATAGTTATTGAAAGAAGAGTGTATAGCTAACATGATTGATATATAATAATTGAGAAACCACAGAAAATGTATTCGGAGAAGAGAGAGGAAAAAGCAGAACTTCTCGAGGGGCTGAGTATTGGGAAGGATGACAAAACAAACGTTTCTCCAATTCAACAGGTTCGCCAATCGCCATCACTACTTTTATTAGTTATTGAATTATATAGTGGGGTTTCTAAATACGGAGTATTTTATATGCATTTTGCATTACATCAAAGTTTACAGTGATATCATTGATTAAAATTGAATGATTTATAAATAGGGATTATTACGGATTTTGCCCTTTTTATAATGGCATTTATGGATTTTGTCTTTTTTTAAATAATTTATGGACTTTGTCCTTTTTAACACTTAAAAATGTACGTATTTATGATTTTTTTTTGCAAAAATACGTACATTATACCAAATACTAAACCCTAAGAACAACTGGAACCGACTAAACCCAAACATAACGAATGAAACGCATGTTAAATCATATTTTTGGAGCCTAAAAAAGGGTAAAATCCATAAATTATTCAAAAAAAGACAAAATCCATAAATGCCATTATAAAAAAGAGCAAAATCCGTAATTAATTCTTTATAAATATAGAAAATGTCTGTAAGTAAAAAGTATGAATCATATGCAGGACGTAATGCTGATATGGGGGGAGCAAGATCAAGTTTTTCCTTTAAAAATGGCACATGACCTCAAAGAGTGAGACCCTTGACTATTTCCATCTAGATTTTGATCTAACTAAAGTTAATGAGTAACCAATATCTATGCTAGAAAAAACGAAGAGTGCTTTGAGAACTAGTTTGGAACCAAGGTAGTAATGGGTTATTCATATTCGTGTGTTTGTTTTTTTATATATTTACCAGGATGTTGGGGATTAAGACGACGCTAAAAATTATACAAAAGACATCACATATACCTCAAACGGAAAAGCCCAAAGAATTCAATGGCATTGTCATGTCTTTCTTATTACCTACATCTCCTTCACTATAGATATAACATCCATATTAAACTATGAATTACAAAATTTTCTGATATCGTCCATGTTAGAAGTGTTTATGTACAGTTTCAAATACATTTGAGAAAATTTGTAACATTATTACTCCATGATGTTTGATTAGACAACGTCCAGAAAATGAATTCAACATAAACGCGTAATTAAAATGTATATCTTTTGAACTACCATAAAAAAAACTACGTGATCATATACATGATGGATTATGGATATTTGTTTTACTTTTGTTTGAGATATATGACGTACACTATTAGGTTCGAACAAAAGCAAAAGTTTTTCTGCAAAATCCGCCGTATGGAGCTTCTAAGCTTGCTTACAAACAAGAACCCAATCAATTGCTACATTTTATCTGGTCAGAACTCTACTTCGAAGATTCACTACAATTCTTTTTTTTTCTTTGATAAAAGACACGGGTGTGATTGAGATAAAGTTAAAGTAAATCGGTAGGAAGAAAAAAGCACCTAAAAACAAAGATCAATTCTAACTTAAAATTTATGTTCGTCTTTTATAGAGTAAAGATTTACTCCACTTTTATAGGTTTTGGCCAAAGTAAGAGTAATAATAATATTTTTTTTGTTTTGTTTGCGCCAAATACGGCGTCCAATCCAAACTCTACAACTCTTCTTTTGGATATTGGAAAATGCATCTTTAGGTAAATGTCTGCTTAGTTCCAAGTTGTCAAATCGCCTAACTAATAAAGTGATGAAGGCAAGTATTTTGGTTAAGAGTATTTTTATAACCCAATATCGAATAAGTCATAAGACTGAAGCCCAATACCGAGTTGTTCAAATAAACTAGACATAGTGAGGATCAGACACGATCCAAGTGGGTAGGACAGAACAATCCAGACTCATGCATGGTCCATTGCCAATTTTAATAAAACAAAAAGGCTTTGGCTACTTCCGTTTGATTGCTTTCACCAGGGCTAGCTAAAAAAACATTTCATATAAAAACCATTTTCTAGAATTTATATTTAAGATAAGGGTCAACTGAATTAGAATTTCTTTGGCTCTAAGGCTTATAAAGTTATAATTATAATAGACCGAACCATGGCTAGAACGGAACTTTAGATACTTGAAGTTGAGTTATGATCTTAAAGGCTTTTTTTTTTTTTAAATATCCGCCAAGTTCGGGAGAAAGCCCGTAAGTCTCCATGGACTAAAGACCAGGGTGGGTAAAATTATAGCTCCTCGCAAGGAATCGAACGAGAGAGCTAGGTTTCAACACCCTTCAGACTGAATGAACCTAGGAGGGCACCACCAGAAGAAAACACGCTTGTGTTGAAGGCGTTAATTATTAACAAAACGGATGCTAGAAGTTGATTTGTGGCATGTCACGGGGATGTCGTTCATTGTCATTGAATGATTTCATCTACAACTCTCTAAAAGCATGAATTCCTCTCGACCCTTGTTTTTTATTTATTTACAAGAACGTAACATTCCTCCAGAAACATATTCCTCAAAGTATCATAGACAGAGGCATTGGTAAGCGAAAACGTGTGTTAAAATTTAAGAGATAAGGAACGAAATAGGCAAAACCAAATTTCATATAATAGTATTGGCCAAGAGCTTCCCTCTCAAGCTGATGTTGAATATGAAGTTGGCACAGTCCACTACAGTTGATTGTGTAAACTAACAAGCAAGCAAAAGATGTTAGGTATATAAATATAAACGACAAATGAAATGGGTTGTGCCTATCTGGATGGGATAACAAAAATGAAATGAATGGGGTGAGGCAACGCCACGTGAACGGACGGACAAGAAGGTGGGGGCAACAACAATGAGTGGGGTAAGTGGTTTAGACACGATAGATTTGGAAATATTTATGGAAAAGCGAAAAGCGAAAATCGAAATGAGAGTGGGTCTATAAATGAGGGCTAAAGGAGGACCCCCATTGATCCTGATGAGATCCTATGTTGATACGCGCGGTTTCGAATTTGAAATATGCTTTACGCAACCAATTCAACAACCCTAGCGACTCTTCTTCTATCTTTTGTTTTACCAAAGTATTTTTTGTCTTCTTTTGGTTTTATGTAATAAATGGATTCTTATGTCCTCTTGATTCTTTCAGAGAAGAAAAATTGGCGAAAGAGAAAGGGTTTTGACTAGAAGAATTTTCAAATCTGTATTACAATGAAGTTTCATATCAATTTTTCCATTAAGTTTGAAATAAACTAAGCTTGAAGTATAATTTGTTTATTCCTTACTTTTAGAATAAAAACAGTATACATATTTTTACTGTGGATTTTCGTTGATAACTTGCCGAAGTGGCATAATCGGTCATTATTGTATCAGGTTTTTTGCGTTCCACACTTCCACCTATAAAAGTAATAATGACAAAATCTTCAAAAAAATTAGAACATAAAATAATGAACCGAATCTAGAAGAAGATAAACATAAATCTTCCAAAACTGGTAACTGGTAAGGAGGAGGACATTTGATAATTAAATGTGAAACAAACCTTTTGCCATAATTTGAAACAAATTATTCGGCTGGAAGAAAGTTTTCCTCAATAAAGAATTAAATAAAAAATCGACAGGAAGAGGAAATACTGTCGGCTGGAAGAAATTTATGGTGGGTCCCATGTTCGATGTGTGGATAAGTCTCACCGTTTCCCATAAAATAAAATAAAAAAGATGACCACCTCGTCATCGCCACGTCACATTCATCCCTCCTTTAGATAGTTCCTATCCAGCCGCAACGGTCATCAAATCTCCACGTGTCAACCTTCCATGGATATTCCCGCGAACTTAAAAAAGTATCGAATAATATTATTGGTTTACGAGGCAGGTTTGGCAAATGGTCCCTAGATTTTTTAAATCTGTTTGAGTCGCCCCTAAACTCTCGTATAGACTGTAAAAAACTAAAAATTATCATTATCATGTGCAGCCCCGGCTCAGATGGGTAGGGCGGAAGTGCGACGGCCCGGAGCTTTTTTTTTTTATAAAAAAATTTTACATATAAAAAGGTCCAAATATTTTTTTTAAATATTATTAATATGAGAATTATATTTTAAGAAGCCTTATTATTTATAAGAAAATGTATAAAAAGGCCCAAAATTTTTAAAATAACAATTTTTACTATAAAAACTCCGCAAAATTTTTAAAAATTAAGTAAATTTTCTATTTGTATATAATAATAGGCCAAAAAAATTTTTTTTGCCTTAAGGCTCTCAAATATATTAAGCCGGGACTGATCATGTGTACTATTTATTATTTCAAGTTATAAAAATTATTGGCTATAACAATGTAATAATAATACTTTCTTCGTTTCACAAAGAGTATCGTTTTAAGATTTAATCTCGTTTCAGAAAGAGTGTTGTGTTTTCAATACAGTGTTAAAGACGAATTCTCTTATTTATCCTCACTATTTCAGCTTATAAATTAGACAGAGGATATTATTTAGTGTATTAATAAGGGGTAGAAATGAAATTTGTTTACTTTTCTTAATTTGTGTGAAAATGCTAGAATAACACTTTTTATGAAACAGAAGGAGTAATATTTTAACGAAGATTATTGATCAAAGTAGTTGAACAGAAAAATTGTTATGCTAATTTTCACTTTTATTCTATTTTATTTATTTATTCTCTCTTTTTTTTCAAATTATTTAAGATCTACCAATTAAAATCATTATATTTAATATTTTATATACTTTTGTCAGAATTGAAATAAAAGAAGATAAGCCTTTTTTTATGTAGGAGGAAATATATTTCTATTTTTAAATTTTTAATACAAATACGATTTTTATGATCATAATTGTTTTGTTCATTGATTCATTTCTCTATTTTACATATGATGCAAAGGCAAATGTTGAGAGAATTTACTACTATTTTGGTCCCTGTTATGCAGGGTCACAACTATAGTTTAATTTTAAAATATATTATTCATTGATTTTTGTGTGCTATGAAAATCTTTAAAATAAATTCAAATTTGAAAAAGATAGATAAATTGCAGAGTTATTTTTTATCAAAGAAAGATAATATGATGCAAAGGCAAATGTTGAGAGAATAGTATAAGAAAATACATGAAACCGATCATTCACGTTATTCTCCGTTTTCTCTGAGACACTCTCTCTTCCTTTCATTCACAATCATACCTGTAATCAAATTAACAAAACAAAATCACAAATCAAAAAAATAACTGCTAGATCTAAAAAAAAATCTAATTCTATAGAGATTTGAAGAAGGTGAATGGATGAACATGAATCACCTTTTTAGTAGAGAAAGAAGATGGCCAATGCGATGATGAAAGGTTGGATTGAACAAACGATAATGATGAAACATGAATTGTTGAAGGATTGGGGACGGTTAAAAACTTTGGTTTAATAACTACAATTTTCTTTACATATTCAATGGTAGATGAAGAAGTTGCGTGGAGGAACAATTTTTATACTTGAGTAATTGATTGTAATTAGGGGTGTCAAAATGGATAAAAGTTAATGGATCAATCCAAACCAATCCAATCCATGGATATAATGAATGAGAAATTTGGATTTTAATGGATTAATGGATTTAATGGATTAGTGAGTTTAATGAATTGAATTGAAATGGTTTATGTTAGAATGGATTAATGGATTACTCATAACCAAACCAATAAAGATTAAACATTCTAAATCAAATGTGTAAACCAAATATAACCAAATCAAATGTGTAAACCGATTTTAGTAAACCAAAGTAAACATGATTTAACTATTAAAACCATGAAATAAATTTTTCCGCCAAAACGTGATTCAACATTTTCCCGCCAAAAACGCAATTCCATAATTTTTTCTCCCAAGAACGAGATTTAGCATTTTCCCGCCAAAAATATGATTACGTATTTTCCCGCCAAAATCGTTATTCTGCATTTTCCCGCCAAAATGTTAATTCGTGATTTTTCCCGCCAAAAACGTGATTTCCTATTTTTCCCACCAAAACCGTGATTCCGTATTTTTCCCGCCAAAATGTGAATTCGTGATTTTCCCGCCAAAAAATGATTTCACATTTTTCCGCCAAAAACGTGATTTCTTATTTTTCCCACCAAAACCGTGATTCCGTATTTTTCCCGCCAAAATGTGAATTCGTGATTTTCCCGCCAAAAACGTGATTTTCCCGCCAAAAAATGATTTCACATTTTCCCGCCAAAAACGTGATTTTCTATTTTTCCCACCAAAACTGTGATTCCGTATTTTTCCCGCCAAAATGTGAATTCGTGATTTTCCCGCCAAAAATGATTTCACATTTTCCCGCCAAAAACATAATTCCGTAATTTTTCCGCCAAAAACGCAATTTCACATTTTTCCGCCAAAAACATAATTCCGTAATTTTCCCGCCAAAAACGTGATTCCGCATTTTTCCAACGAAAATGTCCCCATTTTCCCGCCAAAAACGTGATTCCGTATTTTCTCCCGCCAAAAACGTGATTCCGGATTTTCCTACAAAAACGTGATTCTGTGATTTCTCGCCAAAAACGTGATATCATAATTCATTTATATCATTAAATATTATTTGTAATATTATATGATGATAATAATTATTAATTAATTAATTATTTTATTTTCATGGATCAACTCAATTAACCATTAAACCATCAAATAATGGGATTAATGGATTGACTCAATCCATTTAACAAATGAGTTGGATCAACCCATAAACCATTTAAGCCTAAACTCATTGGATTATGGATTGATTTGAATTGGTTTATCCATTTTGACACCCCTAATTGTAATATATATAATGGTGATTTGTAGAAAAATAGTTGACAAAATATGTGAAAGTGGAAAATTCATCTTATGATCGTGGAAAACAAAAACTTCAGATAGTGGATGATTTTTTTTTACGTACAAAAAAATTACTGATAAAGAAATATTAAAAACTAAAATAATTATATTTAAAAACTGAGGATGATACGTGTCGCAACCACAATTGCATATGGACTTCTGTTTTATATAATAAAGGATATATATATATATATATATTGTATTTTTGGTATATATATAAAAAAAATTTAAATTGAAAATTGGTATAAGAAGGTATACAAAATAAATCAATAGTTATCTATAAATGCCACAATAATCAGCCAAATAAATCTAAACTGGTCCTAGCATATCTCATCAAAATAATCAACACAAAGTCCCAAACCTTGTATATTGGGGTGACAACAACAGTTATGGGGTTTAAAATGTGAAAAAGAAAAGTATGACGACGAAACAATAAAAAAAATAAAAAAAATAAGGTGAGAACTCCATGCAGAGTGCGTGGATGAGGATAAGGTTAAGCCAACAGTTTCTTCTGTCCCCTCCTCAAAACTTTTTACTTATCTTCTTCCATTTTAAATTTTAATGAGAAAAGTAGTAAACAACAACGTGATAAATATTTAAATAATTCCTTTTTTGTTTTCACTAGCATTTAATGTTATTACGAAACAACCAGAGCACATAGACAAGAAGATCACATTATAAAGCTCTCATCTTTCTCTTCTCTTTCTTTCTCCTGTATTTGTATTGTGTGATTTATTAGAGAAAGTTCCAAGATTTTCTACTAGCGATGGATAGTGTTGAATCTTATGAGTTTAATATCTCCGGCGATAATTCTGATGAATCCCCGGCGATGCGTAGTTGGTTCTCTCCGTCCCCGTCTGACTCTTCCTCTTCTCCTTCTTCTTCTGCTTCTTCTTCCATTGGGAGGAATAGCGACGACGGTCAGAAATCTTCAGAGGACGGTGGAGATGACGCCGGAGAGAATGAAGTTGAGTCTCCGTATAAAGGTCCTCTTGAAATGATGGAGTCTCTCGAACAAGTTTTACCTGTTAGGTGAGAAATCTGACTCTTCTTTTTTTTTTTTTTTTTGTTTGAGAAAGATTTCGAATTTGAGTAAAGTAACGATTTTTAAGACTTGAAACTTCTAAATTCGATATTTTTTGTGTTTGATTCTTGAGAAAATTTACGAATTTGGGATCAATTTTGTTTTGTGTAGGAAAGGGATATCGAAGTATTACAATGGAAAGTCAAAGTCTTTTACTAATTTAGCGGCGGAGGCAGCGTCGGCGTTGACTTCTTCTTCGTCGATGAAAGATTTAGCGAAGCCGGAGAATCCGTACAGTCGGAGGAGGAGGAATCTTCTCTGCCATCAGATTTGGGAGAATAACAAGACGACTCCACGTGGCGGGATCTCGAAGAAACACGTTATGAGTTCTAGCAGAAGTGCTTTGACGCTTGCTATGGCGGTTGCGGCTGGTGTGATGACCGGAGAAGGATCTTTATCAGGAGGAGACTCGTCGCCGGGATCAAGTCCGACGACATCTGGATCTCCGCCGAGGCAGAGACATCATCAACTTCAGATGAAGAAGCTTCCTCCCTTGTATCCTAGGAGTCAAGGGTCTTTTGGTAATTTGACGTCGTCTCAGTCGTCGTTGGGTTTTTGTGCCTGGAGATCGCATTCTGTGGCGGATTTTCCGAGGTGTTTTCCGGCGACGGCGAGTGGGATTGGGTTTAATGACTCGTAGGAAATTATGATTTTGTTAAATTTTTATAGTTTCGAAGTAGTAACAACATCCGGAGAATGTGTATAGAAGAGTTTCAACTTTCAATACTTATGAATGGATCCATATCTTTATTTTCCATTTTGGTTTTTTATTCTATCAATTAGATTTCTTCCAAAATCTTTGTCATATTGATATCTGTTATCTATGTGTGGAAAGTCCAACATTCTTCTTTATTTGTTCTTATCTAAGTTTTAAAAGCTAAAACTAAAAGCCTAAAACCATATGAAATTGAAATTTTCTATATTTGTTTATTATATGCAAGTAGTAATTAATAAGGTTTTATGTCTGGTGATAAGTGGTTTGAGTCCTATCCACTCAGCCTCCCGAAGTACATTTATACGAAGATGCATTTGTGTCCACTCTTCCTCTTTTTTTTTTTTCGTCAATCCACTCTTTCCTTTTTTTTTCTGTGCTTTTATGGACCTGATTTATTACCAAACTGGAAGTGGATTTTGTTGGTGAGATGTTGTCGTTGAATTTCAAAGAAACCTAGAAGGAAAAAAAAGAAAGTCGTTTCCTTAAATAAGTCCAACAAACGACCGAAAATGGTCAAATATACACAGCCTATTTCAAAAGAAAAAAAGGGGGTAAAATATATGCTCAAGTTAAGATCTATATCTACGTATAGTTATGGATAACCTCACATTCATGAATAATACAAGGTACATAATCGCTATATTGCTTAACAACAAACAACCTCCAAAAGAGCAGGATATACAAAACCTTCATTCTTCTGCTGTGGTGAGCCGATCACAAGCTGTTTCCACTTGTCTCAGATTTATGGAGCTGGAGAAGTAATGAATTTGAAACGACGAAGATCGAGCTCAATGCCATTAGTCCACCTGAAATCAAATTAATGGTAGGTAACCATGATATATTATTGGATTGTCTGAATCTATTAGAGTGGAAGTGAAGCAAATTAACTGGAATCAGAACGGGACCGCATACCGGATAAGGAAGGTGTCATGGCGAAATCATACTGAGGAAGCAAGACACCTGCAGCTATAGGGATTGAGATGACATTATACGCAATTGCCCATGCTAGATTCTGATAAACTTTCGACATAGTTGCTTGTGCAAGACTCAGTGCATCCACAACCTATAACCACAAAAAGAAAAAGAAAAACACGAGTGATGAGCTTATATAGCTTAGATTTTGAAGTTGAGAAATTCTCAGGTTTGGTTCTTGTCCCTTGAATGAGGAAAAGTGGCTCATGAAGTATTTACATGTGAAAGTTTGTTGCGGACAAGTATGACGGATGCTGCATTTGATGCAGCGTTTTCTTGTGCCTCGATCTTTAGAGCTATTCCAACATCAGCTTGAGCCAACGAGGGAGCATCGTTTATGCCATCCCCAACCTTTGAAAACACACAAAATATGCCGTTAGCCTTATTAATTCCGTTTTCAATAACACACCAATTCCATGATTTTTTTGAGGGGAAGATCCATATACGACGAAGTTGGTGTGTTACCGTTTCTAGGATTCACATTAACCATGAACCTAGAGAAATTGACTTCATCGACTTTTCACAGGAAATAAGTCGAAAAAATCATTCTTGCCTTAGTTGAAGATCTTACCATAGCAACACGATGTCCAGAGGATTGAAGATTAGTTATAAACTCAAATTTCTTTTCCGGAGACAAAGAATAATTGGTTGATTCACTCTCAATCCCCACATTCTTTGCCACAGTTGCCACTGCCCCTTCCCTGTCCCCTGATAAGAGGACTGTTTTGATGCCCTTCTCCTGCAGCCTTTAATAAGACAAACAACATCAAACTCAAAATTTTAGAGACCCTCGATGACTTCTGTTCGATTAAGCCAGAAGGTTCACTTAAATTGAACACATACAGAACTAGAGCAAGTAATTTCATATTAATAGGCTGACTTTGAAAATTTAAAAACCAGGGCTGCTTAGTTTTATGAAAATGTTGACAGTTTAAAAGTAAGGAAAAAACTACCTGGCTACAGTAAATGCAGCATCTTGGCGTAAGCAATCGGATATTGCAATAGCACCAATAATCCCTTCTTCTTCACGGCCAACGTAAACAACAGTCTTCGAATACCTAGACGTTGATGATGCGTTTGATAATTTATTATCCAAAAAACTTTCCAGCTTCACCATGTCTGAGGAGTCGTTCTTTTTGAGGAAACGATCAGAAACCCACTCAAGTGAACCCACTGCAACTAAACGTCCATCTACTTCTGCCAAAGTACCAAAGCCTGGTTCTGTCAGTTGGCCTCTTGTTTCTGGAGTTTTCAGATTCAGAGATTCTGCCTCGTTTACAATAGCCTTTGCTATTGGGTGTGTTGCTGTCTTCTCCACCGCAGCAGCAACTTTAAGAACTTCTTGTTCTTCGTATCTTAGAGAAGCTACACCAGCGACGACAGGTCTTCCTTCAGTAAGAGTTCCTGTCTGAAACAATAACTCGATTTGTTCAACTTTGAGGGGCAACAGGAATTGCACATACACCTATCTTATTTTCTAGAATTTTCCATCTTCATATAAAAAGGAGATAGCGGAGAGAGAGATGGGTGAAGAGGATCATAGAAAGCCCAAAATATTTAGCAATACCTTGTCTAAAGCCACACAATCTATGGAAGCCAGACGTTCTAAGACATCTCCTCCTCTGATAAGATATCCCCGCTTTGCTCCTGGACATATTTAGGCTGAAAGTTTCAACAATCTCGAATTTATTGTTGCTAATTACAATGTTTTAGGTATATGATGTTTATCTAGCCCTATAAACATGAAGGATCACCTCAAGGACTGCACGTACGACACCACAGAAACTAAAAAGGAGATTCTTCATGATATTTAGGCTATTTTTAATAATTTTATGTAATATCTAAAGTCGCCATCAACAACAAAAGTCTAAAACCAAAAACTAATTGTTCATATACTAGGGTAGTCAGCAGGGAAACATAGAGCAGGGACAATCGGTAGCTTCAGTGTCATTTTCGAATCTTCCTAATAATTGGAAAACTTTGTACACAATTAGGTTACTCTTCTCAGCTAGATTTGCAGAGTTTTATGTGCAAGGCTGCAAGCTAAATAATACGCTGGATAACATACCAAGAGAGGTGCCAATTAATATGGCAGTTGGTGTTGCAAGGCCCAGCGCACAGGGACAGGAAACTACCTGATAGACAAAAAAAAATTGATTATGCTCAATTTTTATCTCGGAAGTTTCTTTCTATCCCTCTTTTATCCTACATTCGCTTCGTGAAATTCACATTTTCCCCACAATTACCATTTTCCTCCGTCATTAAGTCTGGCTAGTCCGTGATATTATCACATGAAAGATATAACTTTGACATGCATGGTTCACTCACCAAGACATCCACGGCCAGTTTTAGGCTTAAGGCCAGAGCATCTCCATCAGGTCCAGCAATATCATTGAGTAAAACATCTGGGAATATGTGTGAACCAACGTAATACCTGAAGTAAGAAAACAACTGAGTCTTTGATACTTCTACATTTCCACTTTATAATATAACTAAAACATAGCCCTGCTAAACAAATATATGAATCTTATAAAAATTTCATGTGTTATTTCCGTAAGAAATATTAGAAGAGGACCATACCAGAAGGCAAACGTCACTGCAGATAAAGACATTATAGTATAGACGAAGGGTCCAGCTATTGCATCTGCCAGCCTCTGTACAGGAGCTGCATTACCTTGTGCATCCTCAACCTAAAAATGCAGACAAGAAATGGTGTGAATGAATTAGAGACTCACTACAGAAGAACCGAGGGTTCTGACATGATTTCATTCATACTTTCCCTTATAAAATTAGGTTCAGCTACAAACTTGTAAATGAGTACTATTTGTAGGATTGTGACTCATTCATGATATTTCTATTTGTTGCTGTCTTTTCTCTTTCTGTAGTCAAGGAGGAAAGTCGGCTACAAATTACATAGATTACTGGCCTCACACAATGTAACTTTCATTAGATTTCATTGGCTCTAGATTCATAGACACTAACCATTCTGACAATTTTAGATATCGTCGAGTTGGAACCAGTGGAAGAAGCTTTGATCCGTAGAGGGCCATCCTGAAATAGGTAAAGTGAAATTCAGTTATTCATGATCGCGGTATGTAAATATAACTTAGTAACTGAGCACAGTTAGTGCAGCTAGACAGCACCCCCTAGGTAAAGTGGTTCACATTCAGTAATATAGTAACGATTGCTAGAGGATCATATCCCAAAATGAGAAGTGTGTCATCAGTTGAAGCACTAAAAGAATAAAACCATAAGTAGCCTATTTAAAAAAAATAAACTTTTGTTTTAGCGTATACTTACCCAGTTTATTGTTCCCGCTGAAACTGAGCAGCCTTCTTCTTTAAACACGGGAAGTGACTCTCCTGTCAGCATAGATTCATCCACAACACTTCTTCCAGCTAGGACACTCCCCTATGACGAAATAATTAATTTAAAATGATCACTACGACAATTCACGCACGAACCAGTCACAAGGAATGATAACCAAGCTATCTTGAGAAAGGAAAATATAAGCACATCCATAATAACGTGCAAAGAAGAATGTGGAATTTACTGAATCTCAAGAAGCGCTGAATGTTCTTTTCCCAGTACATAAATCGAAATATAATTTCCTAAAATTACAGAATGATGGTTACCAACCATTTAAATAGATTTTCACGACTTCTTTTCATAAACCCACTCAATTATATATGCTAAGATCAGACAGTTCAGCATGGATAAGCAACTAAGGAAATCGTAAGATGTCGGAAAGACAGAAACACTTACATCGACAGGAAATGTTTCACCAGGCAAAACCAACAGCGAGTCTCCAACTCGGATATCATCAACAGAGACATTGATGCAAATTGAATCAGAGGAAAGTACAGAATCAGCTGCGGTGTTATTGTCAGATGAAGTAATCACAAGTCTTGACTGAGTGGAGATGAGTGACTGCAAAAACACGTTTCGAGTCAAAAAAAGGAGGAAAACGCCTAAAAGTTAATCTTAGGAGGAGAATCAAGAAATGTCCAACTTACCAATAGTTCATTCATATCGCTAGATGCTTTAAGCTTTGCTCTTTCTTCCAACGAACGACCAAGGAGCACAAAGCCAAGCAGCATGACCTGCATACTAAATGACAAGAGCTATCAATCAGAAATTCACCATTGAAATTGTATTTTGCATGCAGTGGAAGTAAAAATAAAAGGCTTTCATCCCCTTGTGCTAGAGAAACTCACCGGTTCCTCAAAGAAGGAAGCATCCCACTCCAGTTCTGGATTAACTAGTGAGATCTGGAAAATTCAGAATGCAGAAAACTGCAGGTTTTCAGAATAGGATACTCACCAGTCAAAAATAAATCACAGGATACAAAAACTCACCAAACTGATGGAAAATGCAGCCATAGATCCCAATCCAACTAACGAGTTCATATTAGGTGATCTTTTCCCAAAAGCCTTTATGCCATCAAACAGCAAATCTACAATATACATTTATCTCTTTCAGTCATTTTTGTTTCCGAACAGCCTCAAATATCACTCTCATTCTTTGAAGTGTTAATGAAACCTCAAAGAATAGCAGGTACCATCACAGTCACTTAAGAAGTGTGAAATTCATCTTTTCTCTCTTATGATAACGACTAATCAATCAAGGTAAACATTATCCTTTAGAAGAATTGGAACAAAGCTCAGGTATGTAATCAGAGTAGAACACATCTAAGTCTGAAGAACAGCATCAGAACGACTACTTCGTCATCTCTCTCTTATGATACTAATTACTAAACTTATTGTGCATTAGCTAGTAAGCATTATAGATTAGGAACAAAATTTTAAACGAAAGCAAACCTCTTCCTGGTCCCAACAAAGCTCCAACTGCCAAACCACCTTTCACGTAAGAGTTGTGTAGCAAATCCCAAATCCCTCCTAGTAACATCAGTTGCAAGAGAAAGTCATAAACTACGTTTTTATCCAACAAAAGACATCTAACATCACAAATTTTTGCATTTTAATCAATGTACCATGAGCAATATGAATTCCCAAGGAATGAAGAATATGCGAAGTGTGAGACCCGCAACACAGAGCCACCAATGTCCACGCAAACGCAACACGGTTCCTGCTCTTAACAAGCAAGTCCTCTTTCTTACTAACCATCTCCTTCCACTTCTTCACATTCTCCGCCACTCCCATCCCCGAGACTCTCCTCTTAGCCTCAAAACCACTCTCTGTCAATCTCTTAGCTAAACTCTCCGCCGCATCCGCCGTCACCTCAACCTCCGGTTTAAGCTTCACCGCCGCTGTTTCAGTCAGCATGTTAACCACAGCAGACGCGACTCGGTCATCAGACATCAAAACCGATTTAACTCGGGCGACGCAGCCACCACACATCATCCCACTCACTTGGAGGAGAATAGGCGTGTCGCTCGTAACAGATTTTGAAGATTCGATTGAAGATTCCGTAGATTCAAACGATTGAGTACTTATCTCGACCGAGTTTGATACCAATAAACCAGGTGTTGAACAGTGCCGCCGGATACGAGAACGGCGCTGTCTTGGAAAGCATCGGTTCACGAATTTGACGTCGAGGAACTTACTTGGGCGAATATGAAGACTCGACGGCGGAGGAAGAGGACATCTGAGAAGATTGGTCGCCATTTTCTCCGGCGAGACAACGACGATAGCCACGATGATACAAGTAAGAATCTAGTGGACGTATGGTTCGTTTAAAAAGCGTATCGCTAAAGATTGACACGTCGGATTTGGAATATATCCAAACCACAAGTGATTAGCCATTTTTTGTGGAATTTGAAAAAGCCAGGCTGTCATCAGAAAAATCAACGAGAGACATAAAACGCATCGTTTTACTAGGTAAGACCTTCTGATTTAACTAGAGGATTAATGCCTCCGGGACACAGCGATGCCACGTGTCATCTTCCTGAAATATTGCTTTTTTGAGGTACTTTATCTTCTCAAGCTTCTTCTTGTACGAAACTTCACATCTCAAAGCTTTGCTACAATGGAGGTTAGTGCGAATGAACCAGCTACGAAAAGCTTGAAACCCTTTCCTTCAGGACCGATACCGAACTTTTTCGTATCGCTCTCTTCGGCATTTACGCAAACACCTCTTGTGCGTTCGAACAAACCCAATTTGCTACTTCTACCACCAGTTGCAGACTCCGTCAAATTGATTCAAGACTTTCATCGGTCTCTAGTCTCTGCTACTGAGAAATTCTCAGGGTTCTTTCATTCCCTCGCCTCTAAAAACCCTCTCTTTCAGGAAGCGGTTCGCTTGTCTTCCGAATTTCGCCTTCTGTGCGACGAGGTAACTTCTTCTTTCTTCTGTGGATTAGATTAGAAAATACTTATGTGTTTCCGAATGAACCTATTGAAAACTTGCTTGAGCTCTCATTGGTACTGTAATGGGTGAATTTATCTAATTTCTGTTCCTAAAAAAAGGTCATTTTTGAACCGCTAATAACTCAGATCATATGCCAAGACTATGGGATTGTTGGGTAGACCACTTAGCACTTGTTGGATAACATTTTCACATTGTTAATAATATATGACCTCAAGTTGGGATCTTTTTTGGTTCTTTTCTTGTAACATTAAAGATCAAACTTGGCTTCAGGATAAGTCAGGTTATGCTTTTGTGTGCCTTTGCTTCTAGTTTTGGGTTGTTAAAGATGAAGAGCCTTTTGTTGCATTTCAGATTCGTTTGAAAAACACTACAAGGGTAAGGTTTGCCATGTCTAATCACGGATTTGCTGCGGTTCTGCCTGGAGATTCAGTTGCAGGATTGGTGGTTGCTAATGGGTTGATAAATTTCCTCAACATATATAACACCATCCTTGTTGTCCGTCTAGTACTCACCTGGTTCCCGAGTGCTCCTCCTGCCATTGTTAACCCCCTCAGGTAATAAGTTGCCTTAAAATGCCATTATGATTTTGAATCGTATCCGGGTTTTAAAGTTTCGATCGATCCATGGGAACAAAATCTTGATCATATATTTCATATTCGCCATTGTTGAAGGTAGTCTTTTTGCTTGAATTAGAGGAAGTTTATTTTGGATAAACTCTGTCTACTACATTCTAAATGGTTTAAGGATATGAAAAGAAAAAAAAAAAAAAAAAAAAAAAAAGGTTTAAGGATTGGTTAAACCCTGATTGATCTGCCCAAGAGCCCTAGTTGATTGCTAATTATGTGTATTTGTGTTACTATTGTTTCAGCACTTTATGTGATCCATACTTGAACATATTCCGGGGATTCATACCGCCTCTTGGAGGATTAGATTTGTCTCCTATTTTGGCGTTCCTTGTTCTCAACGCCTTTACCAGCTCGGCTATGGCACTCCCTTGCGAGCTCCCGCCAGCTGAAGGAGCGGTTTCTCTATCTTCTAGTGAGACAAAGTGGATGAGAAGGAGAAGGTTGAGCAGCCACAAGGACCACAGACCGAGCTCAGCTTCTATGAACTGAACCTATCTAAAAACTCCCCTCTTTTCTGCGCTTCAAATGTAAAATCTACCTTTCTAGTAATTTTATTCTTCTGCATCTTTGGATTTCTGAATTTTTGTATAAATTTTCTTTAGAAAATGAATAAAAGAGTTGTGTTCCTCCTGATAAACAGAAATATTGTAAAATTTTGCAAAAATATGAGCTATTTTACTTCATATGTGGCGTCAAAACAACTTTCACTCAGATTCTAATCAGAGGCTTTGCATATCAAGACGAAAACAAGAAGGATGAGGATGACAAGCAATCCACCAAACGAACCACATAGCCTGTGAATCCAGTAAGGATCAAACCTGGTCAAGCTAGGGTCACAATACAGGGACAAAGCAATGGCCAAAATCAACAAGAGAAGAAGCAGAGAGAGGGAAAACATAAAGCCGAAGAGTTCTTCTTCCTCTTCTAGATCTTCCTCTGATAATCTGTCGATGTAGAGAGGTGAGAGCACGGCTAGTACCGACAAGCTTATGGCCAAAAGTTTCCAGGACGTAGTAAACCTCCCCATCATCGGGCTGGATGATCCCGCTTCCATCGGAATAAATGCCAGTACAAAATTAAAAACCAACTAGTAACTTCCTTCACAATCCTTGCTTGGTGTTCATCTGGTTAAAAAGAAAAGATCTGAACGAATATGGTTTGTTTCTTGGTAAGACTCTGAACATAAGTTGCAGGGTAGTTTCGGCTTAGATGGTAAGGTTAACTGTTTACACACAAAGAGAAGAGAGAAAGAAGATTCTTTGTTTCTAGTGAACAGTAGTGTCCACACACAGCTAAAATATTCCATGGGATCATATGCTTAATGCTTTTCTTTTTCTTTTTCTTTTAGTTCAATCTTTTTACCAAAAGCTGATTCTAAAAGACATTGTAACATGTTCATATATCACTATCTTTTTTTTTAGTATGAAACTGTACAACAGAGATAATTTGGTCTAACAATGAAGATTGTTCATCATCAATTCAGAGCTATATGCAACGCCAGTAGTTGTCAATTTATCAGAAGAACTTGGCACCTACACTTGGGTAAAAGTTATCAAGGTGAGCGTAGAGTGAAGTCATTTTCAATCCGGTGATATGAACGTGTGATCTTGAAAGTTCTTCAAGAAATGTATCATCCACCTACAATGATAATACCGCCATTTTAAGTACTTGAAACAGATCACCCCAAGGTTGAATTCACCATAAACAAAAAAAAAAAAGCACAAGTGTAAGCTTAATCTACTATATCATACCTGTGTCCATCCAAATAGCTTGAGTGATCTAAGTGACGAGCAGCATCTCAAAATTCGTCTTAGGTCCTCTTGGGTGAGTCTTCGACACCACGAGAGGTCCAAAAATTGTAACCTCTTGCAAGCTTCAGCAAGCGAAAAGGCAGTATGTGGACCGACCTGTTCAAACGAAACTCCTTTAAACACTTGGGGAAAAAACCATCTTAAAAATGAATGAGACTCTAGGTACTAAAAACACTCACATTTCGGACTTTGTTTAGGCAAAGTTCGTTAAGAGAACCTCCCGAGACTTCAAGACACGCGGCAATACCTTCGTCACTGTCAAAGGAAGCCCATAGATTTGATATTCAGAACACTCTAAGAATGTTATGTAAAAAAAGATCAAAATTATGAGATTTTTACGAACCTAAATCCGTTACTTGTAAGTTTGAGTGATCTCAAATATTTGCAACCCTCTGTAATAAACTCTAATGCCTTATCAGTCAATTTATCCAAGTCTGTGATGTCAAGAGCTTCTAGCTTTTTACAATACCTCCCAATATGCCAAATGCAATCATCAGTAACCTCACTAGTTACCATAGAGAAAAGCAAAAAAAAAAACATAAGTTCTCAGCATAAAACTTGATAATGAATTTGGTCTTGTAAGGCCTCAGAAGAGTAACTTACTTGCAATTAGCGAGAGATAGATCAGTGAGATTTGAGCTACGGAACATAAAGAACGTTCTGACAACACCATCATTAACACTATCGAGTCCTGCAACCGAAAGATAGTTCAATTTCTCGAACTTATATAGGCTGCTACTAAAGCCTTTATACCATTTAATCCCTTGGCATCCACCAATGCTAAGCCCTCTAAGAGTGGAACCAAACTTATCAGCAAGAATCTTCAAAGCGCGGAAAGTGAGAAGAGAGCATTCAGTGAGGTTAATAAACTGAAGCAGAGGAGATGAACTCGATATCAACAACAATGCAATGTCTGTTAAACAGAACGCTCCTTGAAGAGATAGCGTAGTTAATGACGGGAATCCGTTAGGAGCGCGTTTAAAGAACTCCCTTATCGTGTAATCCGTAATGGATCTTCCGCAAAGATCAAGAATCAACACCTGCAAAAGATTGAAAATTTCACCAAAAAAAGATAGCTAACAAACTTCCCAATGAGATTTTATAATTTACCTTCAAGCTAACTCTGTCACAGTCACAGAGGATCTTAATCAAGTCATCCTCCTCTAATTCGACACAGTTCTTCGCGCAAATCTCATTCGGAGAATCCTCAATCAAAAGCTCCATAAGACGTGTATCGACTTTGCCTAAACCACTAACAAGATACGAGAGTTTCTTCCTCAAATGATCAGGAACAAGTTTCAATGACTTGATAGCTACAATATTCTGAGCAAGAACTCTCGCACTCAGCTCCACAAGAGTAGGAGCTTTCCTTAGTACCGTCATCGGATCTATCTCCATATCACTTGTTGTAGAGATCTCTTCTCTTCTCTTCTTGATCGATTCTTTAGCTCTCTGAAACTCACTTTTTTCTTCATCTCTTATTACTTCTTCTTCTTCCTCTGTTTTTTCAACAATCTTGAGATCAGAATGCAAATCAAGAGCAAAAGTTCTCGCAACTTTATAATTTCTCGAAACTTCATAATCATGTCTTCTTTTTCTTGCAGCTTGTTCTTCAGCCCATTGTTTCTGCCAATTTGCTAAATAAGCTTCATCTTCATCATCCAAATCGGTGCTTTTTCTTTCCTCCATCTCCACGTCGTGATTTTGAAACCCTAATGGTAAATCACGATTCTCAACCTCGTTCGCTGCCATGAGAAGTGCTTCGATGGCTTCTTCATCGGATGTGATCCGACGATTTCCTCGAGAATCATTGGGAATATCGGAAGAATTCATCGTGTTGTTTCTTCAGCCAGAGAGGGTTTTGTTGGTGAAGAAGAAAGCAAAAACAATTGGGCTTAAAATCAGAAAAAGGAAAAATCGAGAGATGTATTTATACTTTTTCGTGACGAGAGAAGTTTATTTTTACTGGTCAACTCCATTTATTATTGGCTCCTTTTTCTATAAGGAAAAGAAACGATATTTATTATTGGTAGGGGAAAAAAATGTATTTGCACTGAATGATAAAATGGTTTGTAGTACGTATTTAAATAATATTAATAGAGCAAGCAAATTTTTTTTTTCCGTTTCTGAACAAAATATGAATGGTTTTATTTTGGGTGATTTAAGTGTATAACCAAATCTGATAAACAAATTAAGAATATAGCACCTTAATTTTGAAAACAAAGGAAATAACCATCAGACATTGTAAAATGACAAAACAATCCATATGTGTAGTACACGTGTGATAGGTGCTAGAGAAGGGGAATTTAAGTTTTATTTTGTTATTTAATTTTTCTTTGGTTTGAACTTTGAACAAAAAACGTTTACCCCCATATTTGTTTTGAGAAAAGTTCTTAAAAATAAATAAATTAAAATTTTCAGTTCTATTAGAAAAAGTTTAGATTTTTTTTCTGAATATATCATAGGGTGAATTTTTCAAAACGGACATAAACATTTTACGTGGTGAATAGTCTTTGTAACAAAAAAACATATGTTATACTATATCGGATCACACAAAATAAATGTTGTACTATACTATTTCTTATAAATTATATTTGAATCAACTTAAACTTAAAAATACTAAACCCTAAATCCAACCGTCTAAACCCAAACCCAAAACATATCTTTTAAAATTGATGATATCAATAAATTTTAAAATTAAAAATAATGAATTTATTTAGAAAAATAGAATAGAACATTGTAGTGTTCTATATAGTACGATGGTGGTAGTAGAGAATACAAAATACTAAATAATTGTATGAGTCATGCGGCATGACAAAGAAGAAACACTATATCTTAAGTGATGCAACATAGAGAACCCAAATTAAAAACCAAGTTAAATGGATATAAAATAATACAACATGAAAAACCTAATTTGCCATGTTAAACAATCATGAATTCAAATTAATATTTGTAAAATATAAATATAAGGTTAAAATATATATATATATATATATATATAGGTTAAGTTTATAAAAGATAAAAAGAAAACAATTGAAAAGAATTTATTTTTCATTAAGTTACAATACTATTCCATTTGAAACAAATCTATTCCATTTGAAACAAATCTATTCCATTTTCATCTTCCCCTCTGTCTCTCTTTATCTCTCCTTCATTCCTATCTACACCCCTTCATTTCTATATTGATTAGATATTTATCTACACCCCTTATACTTTTTGCTGCAATAGGGAATTGAACTTTCTTTTCGAGGATTACTTGCCATGACTCACAGGTTCGAAGGTCATGGAGCGGGCCGAGACAGTGGGTTAACTCGTCCACCAAATCAAATCGTTTTAATGGTATACTCCGCGATGGCTGTGACTTCTACATCCACACAAAGTGGCAATCGGATAAGATTTTACAACATCGGAATAGGACGATCGAACCTTTACCGATGATTACATCATCATCTCCTTAAGGAGGAGGACTTATATAGACGATTATGTTGGTGTCGTTGTTGACTGTTTTTTGGCGATGATGGAGAGAGATATGGCGGTCGTGAAATAAGTTGCAGAAAAAAAAAATAGGAAGAGAAAGAGATGATAGTTTGAGGTTAAAGACATGATGTGTTAGGCACGTGTATTACAACAAGGGTAAATATGTATATATTACACAATGTATGCCAAATATTATAGCCCAATTTTTTTATGGTTATTTGTTGAATTATTAAATTTTTGATGGTTATAGGCTCAAATTTTCCTTTTATTTTTTATTTAGAATCGAGTGGTGTCGAATATTACAATTAACAATAAGAGGATGAATGATTTTATTTATTATTTATTATATCGGTTTTAATTTTTTTCCAAAAAAAATTGTAAATAGGAATTTAGTAGTTTAATTTATTATAAAGATTAGAATTTAGTAATTTGGGATTTTTATAGATTTATTTAATTTAGATTATATTTCCTCCGTTTCATATTAAATGTCGTTTTAGCCTTTGAATTTTGTTTTAAAATAATTGTCGTTTTGTGTTTTCAATACAGATGTTTGGTAAAATTTCCAGTTTTTGTCCCTACTAATATAATTTATTGACCAATGAAAAAATAATAAAATATATAAATAATAGGTAAAACAAAAAATTTAATTATTTTTTAATATGTGTGCAAAAACCTTAAACGACACTTATTATGAAACATAGGGAGTATATTTTTTTTTTGATAAACCTTATCGGCTAATCCGGTCAGTCTCGGTAGGAATACACCGAGTGCTACAGAGTGGATGTGGTTCAACGGTTCAACGATTCAACGGACTCGGGTCGAACGGACCAAGAGATTCATGAGATCCATGAGATCCAGAATTGGGCCACCACACTGCCTGATCCGAGTTTGGAGTGTCTTCCGACTAATGCCAGGGGGTAGACAGGCCGCCTGCATTTCTGACTACCAGGTAAACCAATTGGGCCAAGGCCCAACTGACAAACTTCCCAAACAAATGTGTTTTTGTTTGTAAGGAGAATCGAACTGAGGTTTGCGAGTTTCATCATTTCCCAAAGCTTCCTCTACCAATAGACCACATATGCTTGGACATACCTAGATTATATTCATCTGCAATATCTATACTAATATTTTTGCAGTCATTTTGGTGACGGATGGGTAAAAATGATCCGGATTATTTGGATATCCGATCTGTTTCAAAAAAATCATTCAAAAAAAACAATTGGATCAGGTTTTCTAATACCCGTTTCTATATTTGATATTCTCTTGATGGATCTGTCTGATGACCCAAATTCAATTAATTTTACAAAGATGTAGCAATGAATTAATTTTACAAAGATGTAACTAGGGGTGTCAAAATGGTTAACCCAACCCAACTCAACTCATTACCCAATGAGTTTGAAGTTAAATGAGTTCATGAGGTGAGTCAACTCATTTAGCAAAATGAGTTGAGTCAACCCATGAACTCATTTAATTTGATGGGTTAGATGGTTAAATGGGTTGACCCATTAATGTAATAAATAAATTAATAATAATCACGGATTTACGTTTTTGGCGGGAAAATCACGAATTTACGTTTTTGGCGGGAAAATCACAGATTTAAGTTTTTGGCGGGAAAATCACGAATTTACGTTTTTGGCGGGAAAATAACAGATTTACGTTATTGGCGGGAAAATCATTGATCTACGTTTTTGGCGGGAAAATCATAGATTTACGTTTTTAGCGGGAAAATCACGAATTTACGTTTTTTGGCGGGAAAATCACGAATTTACGTTTTTTGGCGGGAAAATCATTGATTTACGTTTTTGGCGGGAAAATAACGGATTTACGTTTTTGGCGGGAAAATCACGAATTTATATTTTTGGCGGGAAAATTGTGTATTCACATTTTTGGCGGGAAAATTAAGGATTATATTCAATCGGTTTAGAAGTTTTGGTTAGACTCAAATTGAAATCGGTTTAGAGATTTGGATTGGTTTAATTCAATTTAACAAAAATTGTTGGGTTAAATGGGTAAACCATTGACCCATTACAACCCAACTCATTTCACCCATCAACCCATTTGACTCAATAACTCATTTGATCCATCAACTCATTTGAGTCAAAAATTTCAACTCATTAGGGTTCATGGATTGAGTTGAGTTGAGTTGACCCATGAATTTTGACCCATTTTGACACCCTTAGATGTAACAATGAGGATTAGAGCCTTTATTAGAGAATATAGTATCAAAATTGTAACATAATTAATCTTGGAATCAATTACGACCTGAAAACTAGGAAACTAATTATATGATAAATATCCGATATTATGCATTATTTGTAAGAATTCGTTTTTAAATAAAATCAGAAATTTTGCAATCATTTCGGAACCGATTAAATTGAATATAAAACTCGGAATTAATTTTTGAAAAACGGATATATATTATCCAATTGACGAAAAATGTGTGTTCAATGTTCTACATCGATTAAAATATTTTGACAATTATTCAGAATCATATCATAAATAAGATCAATATTAATAAAATAAATGAGTTTTTTGGCCAGACGGGGTTTGGCGGGACTGATTTTCGAATCAACAACAATAAATAAAATAAAATATCATTAATCCGCCACTTCAATACGGATTAAATCCTTAATTTTTTTTAATACCACTAATATTAGACATATTAAATCAGTCTCATTTAGAAAAGATTGTATAGAACCAAAAATTGTTCTGTGGTATAATGTTACTTAATAACAATTGTAAACTATAAAATATAAATATCTTAGAAAATGATACAATTTGCAAACTTTTGTATATAATAAATAATCATTGAAATTTTAAAAATTACTACTTTAGAAAACAAATCATGGGACGGGTTAAGAAGTTATATGACGGGTTATATTTCGAACGAAGTTATATGGTGGACGAGTTTGTGCTAGTTGTGTGCAGATTCTCTAGTGAAGGGAGTAAAAGAATAGTGGATGTGGTTTCAAAGACTTTCTTCTCGTTTGTAAACTCATGAAGGAATGATGTTGCATTACCTGTTAAACGGGTCCTTGCTTCAGCTGGCTTGCTGGATTTGATCTTCGACGAGATAACTAAAAGCCTACCTAAACATGATGCAGCGAAGATAAGTGGGCACTTTATGAAATCTCACTCTGTGACTAGCCTCCTTAAATTGGTTGATCCCAAAGACCCTGAATTTCCCAAGCTTTTCAATCTTATTTTCACCTGTCTGCACAGGGTATACTCTACATTTGGGGTTGCTTACACTGATACGTCAACATCAGTTGATGAAGTGGATCCATTTAAAAGTCCTTGTCAGACTGATTCAATCTAGGGTACCAGAATACATATTGTGCTTAATGTTGTTTTCTTTGATGTGACCAGAATATGGAGCTAACGTATCTAGGGTACCTTTTGCACAGTCTATCTAGTTACAGGGATACAAGTAG